ATTCTTTTGGATAGGCGCCGACTCGTGCGATCAATATAACCTGCTCCACAGGAGCTAGTAAAGGAGTAGATGCACATGGAGGTGGTCTGAGTCGGTAACCTTTCCTCGCCTTCCCCGTGTAAGACCGGGGTTAGTTGAGAATAATACCCGAACTCTCGCTGCTGGAAAGGTACGTGAAAGGAATTTTTGCGACCTTAAAATTATATTTGCTTCAATTTACTAAAAATAATGAAATCCACCAACATACACTCCGGTTGCTCAGGATACATATGTCAACTGAGGGAAATTCAACCTTATACTGGGGAGCCAACGAAAAAAGGGAATATCGAGTTCATGAAAATGTGAAAGTAGGTTATTGTCATAAGTCAAAGGTAAAAAATGGCCTCTTCCGATATTCCTGCACGGTTTTCTTCTAGCAAACGTTTTATGGCTCTGCAACAACCAAATTGAAATCCGGGCATCAAGTGTCAGTTAACGGCGCAATACTTAAACGACGCAAAACCGGAACTGTCAAAAATTATGTCTTTTGTTTAAAAATATAATACACCTATATGAATGTTGAATTATATGTGGGATGTCATTAGTTTGAAAACCTGACAAGGAATGTCAATTTGCTTTCCCTCTCTTTTAGGACAAATACATAATCTCGAGTCTTTTCTTCCTGACATTGATCTGCATTTGGCACGGTGGAATCGCTGTCATTGAAAAGGTGGCAATGCGATTCGACATTCCGCTATGGTCAGATATGGAACTCTACGTCATCCTGCTTATCGGAATCGGCTACTTTGCTTTTAACGTCGGATTCATACTCATGATCTACTGTGTTGTAAGTTAATCAATTTCTCTAAGGTTTTATTGGCAGAGTTTTTGTGTTGTCACAATGGATCTGTTGTGTCAAGGAAATCGAATTTCGCAAACATTACCTTGGCAAAAATAAGATTGACGTAGCGAGATATCAGGAGATTGACCGCATTAATATGTTCAGCTCAAATATGCATATCAACATGCGGACCGAACATGAAAGTGTTCGCTTCGAACGAATTTACTCCATGTTTGCGTATTATTTTACCCAGTGCACACGTAGAGCGGAGAAGTTATTGATACAGTTTTGGGTGAGTACACTGTGTCGCCTGCGTTCGCGGCGTTTTCCATAATGATTGGCCGCTTTGTGCTCCTAAATCAGGCTCAATTCCAGACTGGATCCTTTCCATGCCAAAAGAAATTTATATGACTGTAGAACAGTGATGGAATTAAAGATGACCGTACTACGATTAAAATATGAAAAAGCTCTTAGGTGGGTGCCTTCAACCGAGCAGGCATCGTGGATAGCAAGCTAAATAGTTAGGGACTCGCGTAGTCTGACCGCCATTCAACCAAATACAGTGCCAACTGTATGGGGATAAAGGTGCAGACAGGTGCATTAGACACCATACGTACGAACAGCTGTTGAAGCTAACTGGTGTGTAACGAAATTTCCTCATCAACGTCGTTGCCCGACTTCGGACATAAAATATACATCATACAGTTGGTACTTGAGACTCCTTTATTTCGTAAAGGAAAAATCGGTAACTTAAAGCTAAACGGGTATCCGTGCATCAAAATATCAGCCTGCCGATTCTTCCTAAGGGAGTCCTCCGCGTTCATGTTAATATTAGAGTGTTCTTTAAACTATACTATTAAGCAGCATAAATAGCTGAGGACTAATTTCTGAGGCAATTCCGTCAACAAACTTGATAAATTTACGCATCGGGTTTTCCAAATTGACAAAGATGTTTCGAATTCTAAGTTAAATTGAATCACACGCAAAGGCAATAAAGTATGAAAAATATAACTTTAGAGTGTAGCCTTGAATCCATTGTTTTGTCCATTAGCTCGCCCGTCATTTTTTCTGTCCTAATATGTGGCGTCTATTAACTGACATCACTGTTTGTCTAGTTGTAGACAGAATAACACATAAAAAATTAGACTGGACGTAAGCTAATCGCACTATGAGCGATTATTCTACTCTGAAAGAAAATGTAAAATTCCCAATTCACAAACTATACCCTGTTTTCGTCGACACGGCGGAAAAACCTTTATGGGATTGACCGTTGATTTAGGGCAAGTGGACACGTGACCAATAGCATACGACTTAGTATTACTTTCTGAAAGAAGGAAACTAGTAAGGCTTGATTTTATTTCATACAATGTATGGGCTATCCTTATTATTCCTCTTTTTTGTTTCTTAGGCGTGCAAACGAAGGCGGGACATGAAATCAAAGGACTCAGAGTACCTGGTGAGCACACTCAATGGATTTACGTAAACCGAATGTTTATGCTGTGTTAACAGTTACAATTCTGCACGAAATAAGGACGTGACTGTAATTCAAAAAGAGCGAAAAATGCGATGAACGTTGCATTTGCAAGCATTGTCTATCGAAAAGCATGATGCGGCCGCTATCCCACTTATTGCCTATGCACCAAAGCTTTTATATAAACCGGATAGCCCTACCGAAAAACACTAGGGGACTGTAATGATCATTTCTGTTTTAGTAGCCGTCATCAGCTACCCATATCCAACCTCAAGTATTGTGACAGCCGAGGCTCGATCCGATAACCTGTTGGCTCGAAGGCAAAGGTTCTAACCACTGCGCTACTTTCATATATAAATCTATAGAGCACTCATAAAATAGCTTGAATTACCTGCTCTGAATGAATGCAAGCAGCATAATCCAACCAAAGGTAACACTAAACGGTCACAGGATCCTACTTTCATAGACCGATGGTTCTAGCCGTCGGCTTTTTAGCATCCGACGACGTTGAGAAAGACACAGAGGGAGTTGCAAAATACGCCTTTAATAG